TGCCATATAACTCTTTAAATGAATGTTCATTTTTTGGCATAAACAACGTAGTTTGGGAGATTGTTCCATGTTTCAATAGTTCTGTTTGGAGATCTGAACTTTTTGACAACCTTATCGCTTCCTTTTATGTCCTCTCGTTCGCCTTGTGTTCGAAATTATAGTCATCTTTATCAAACTTCACTCTTCATGGAACGTGGTTGAACAGCATAATCATGTCGCCCCTTTTTCTTTTTTTATCCAAAATAGTATTTTTTTAAGTCTGTCTTCGTAGTTCCTATCTCTGATCATTCCAAGATATCTTTTTCTTTATCTGCTGTGTTTGATACTGTCTCCTAATTTGTACTGGAATAGGAGTCATTTTTTACTTTCCCTGAACCTGACTAATGGCATTTATTGGTGTTGAATACCACTAACCAAGTAGGCCACAACTTCTTGATGTCACTGTGGAGGCATTGACCTGAGACCTCGTACATTATCCTCACCTATTATGTATTTTCGCGTCGTCTGCAAAGCTTTTCGTACATACTGGGCTTTTGTTTGACCCTAAATCATTTATGAAAGTAGTAACCATAATCGCCAGGATCCTTGAGTTACTCCTCTAGTCACTCGTCTCCAAGTAGAGTGTTTCCCTCTAATTACTGTGCTTATTTGTTTTCATTTAGGAAATATTCCATCCATTCGAGGAGTTTATCTTTGACTCCACGTAATGGCTAATGGTTACAAAACGAATTAATGAGTAGTACATCAAATGTAATATAGCACCATAGAAAGGTGTAGCGGTGATAAGGGGTTAGTGTTTGTAGCGTCCCGAAACCCCTAACATTTTGATGCATTGCAAGAAGGCGCGGGGCTGGGATGGACTTCTGGGGGGAGGGCTGCTTGCTTTTTTGACTGTTTATCTTCCTATCTTTTGGATAGCATGTATGGAGAATTAGCGTTATGCTCTTGTCGGCAGTTCACGCATTTCCAAGGGACATTTCTACCTTCGGAAATCTTTTCTGCGCACTCTGAACTTTCATGAGAAAGAGCGCAGTACCGGCACCGTGGTGCATCTCGTGGACGTGCACATGTTCTATGTCCCCATTTTGAGCACTTAGAACAAAGTGGAGTCAGGAAATTGTAGATGGCACACCTAAAGGGTGCCATGCCCTCAACCACCTTAATAGATTTGGGGACTACCTCCCTGTCATATATTATGGTGACTCTTTGGGTCATCACCCCGTTATACATTTTTCCTTTCTCGAAAACCTTTGCTTTTTCCAGCACTCAACCATCTGCACCAGTCGTTGTATTATGGGCAAAAATTTGTTCGTTCTTGCATCATACATATACATTATTTCTCCCAATATTTAGTTTTATTGATCCGTGTGTTTTATTGTAAGGGTCTGTTTTTAATGTCTGAGACCCATCGATATTTATCGCCGTGCGTGTGAAGTTTTGTGTCCGGTCTGAAGTGCACACACAGGTATCCGGGGGGCGTGACCTCCACTTGAACACACACAGGTATCCGGGGGGGGCGTGACCTTCACTTGAACACACACAGGTACAGGGGGGCGTGACCTTCACTTGAACACACACAGGTATCCGGGGGGCGTGACCTCCACTTGAAGCAGATAACTGCCTCTGCTTTTTTCTCGTTCTTTCAGTGGGTCTACCAATATCCTCCTCACTGAGGATATCGTATCTCCCCTCTGTTTCCATGTGGTGGGTTGTGCACGCAGAGGGTCTGACCTGAGTGCCTGTCCTTTGAAAATAAACGACACATCTATGAGTGTGATTAGGATCTTTCACTTTTAATTTTACTGTTAATTCTTTGTATCACTTTCGAACTTATGATTATGCGAGCATTGTCAAGCACAGGATCAGTATACAACTGACAGGTCTGTGAAGACCTGATTGTCAAGGTAATACAGATCCATTAGAGAGAGAGAGAGAGAGAGAGAGAGAGAGAGAGAGAGAGAGAGAGAGAGAGAGAGAGAGAGAGAGAGAGAGAGAGAGAGAGAGAGAAGCCAGAGAGCGCGGGGGGACGAGAGATTTGATTTGATTTGAAAAAAAAAATATTTACAGAGCAGTTTACATGCCCTGTAAAAAGCCAGGGAAAGATGTTCAAGCATCTACCCAATCTGGCTGAACTTATATTGATTTAAGGGCCAAAATCAAACATTAAATATACATGCCTGAAGGGCTGCACCTTAGTGCTCGCCTTATTGGTTAACTATCTAATAACTGAAACACATATATATGATTTTACAAAAACGAACAGTGTTTCCATAAATCTTCATGTTCTGTTATGGTACACTCAAAGTCACTGTGGGTCATCAGTTGCCAGCTGATGATTTTCAAATTCTGTTACAGGTTGTGGAGGGTTGAACCGTTGTCCAAAGATTACTGAAAACATTTTTTTTCCCGGAACTGTAGTTGCTTGGCAAATTGTTGCTGCATCATAAGCATCATTTGTTCCATCTTCAGCATCAACATTTGCAGTAAGTCCTGTCTCTCC